AAATTATGAAAACAAACAACACGTGCTTTTTTTTCAATTAATTATGAAGAAAGTGGAAAAAAAAAATATACAAGGCTCAAAAGGGAAAAGTATAAGATCGAAAAATATAAGATATAATATTTTATTATCGCTATCCTGCGATAGCACCTTCTTAGATATTATGTGATATGTTGTAGTAAATCATTGCAGATTCTTTTTTAAGACGCTTTGGCGGTAAAGACTTGAGCAGGTTATACGCTAAATGGTTTGGATGACGACTTAGACGAGCTTTGTATCTGGAGCAGTAATGACTAATTTCTTCTTCTATAGTTGGAATTCTGAGACCTTTATGTATCAACCAATTGGGAACATATTTAGGAGCGTTCACGATTTCTTTTACAATTTTATTTTAGAACCTTTGTAGAATAGTTATGTTCGATTTACTGGCCGCACCCCATAGTTGTAAGCCGTAGGACCATATTGGTTTAATAATTGTCTTGTATATTAAGAGTTTATTTTTATTGTGACTTGTGATTTCCAGCCCATAAAGCAATTAAGTTGCACAATAATAATTTTTAAAAAAAATCTTATAAAAAACAGTTTTTTATTGTATCTTCAAATGGCATTTGTTATTGCAAACTTCTCCCCTACCCCCTTCCCCCCGTCCTGGATTTTTATAACTAAAAACTGCTGTTCCGGCTTTGACTTAAAAAATATGGTCACCTTATAGTAAGGAACCGCCAAAAAGTTATTTATTTGCTGTGTGATTGGGCTTTCTACACAATAAACCTAAGCTTTATCATAAGTACAACTTGATGATTGATAATATTGATAATAGGTACGTAAAGTTAGGTTTTATGTGTAAAACTCCTATCGCACAGTAAATGCATAGCTTTTTGAGAATATTAACTCATACGAAGATAGACTCGTAACATACCATTACCCCAACATTTTTATTTTATTCGGAAATTGCTTCTTTAGATTGAATGCATTATTGTAAATAATCTTTGATTTTAAGTTTTTAAAGTAACATCTTATTTCATCTCCTGATGATCGATTACAAATTGCTTCCACATCTCACCGTGAATAAATAACGTCATAACTTGCATATCTTCTACGTATAGCATTTCTTAAGTCGTAGTATCAGAAACTGTTTTATCTCAAATTTTTCTTTTGAAAAATATTTTTCACTTTCTCAGCAATATATTTTCAGATCTCCTCACACTTTTCTTCATAGTCAATACTTCATTTTTCAACCGTGATTTTCATTTGTTAGTTTTTTATTTTATCTTGTATTTTATAATAAATTAATAATTAATAATCTTTATGGGTTCTTTTAAACAATATAAATGTTGTTATTTCCAACATTTGATTTTTTTATATAATAAAATATGTTTTATATAGAAATATAGAACAAAGTGCAATTTTACATTAACCAAATATGATATACATTTCAAATTCTCAATTAAGACTAATTTTATTGTGTTATTTATATTCTCATTCAAATGGCAATTTCTTTTTTGATTTTATCTGCAATCAATATTAATTGATCTACTTATTATTATTTTATTATAAATATAATAACCATTCAGTTTATTTTATATCACTCTATTTTTTAATTGTACAAACAAATTATTCAATCTATAATATCTTCCAAACCTTCCAAGTAAACTATTTGTACTCGATGTTACTTTGATAAAACTTTCTGGAATTTCATGCATTATGTAGTAAATTAAACTTCTCTGTTTAATTGCATGAATCCGACACAGTCCTAATCTTCTTTAATAAGCTATTCAGTTAGTATTTACAAATCCAGATTTAAGTTTAATCTACTTGACAAGTTGAAGTTATTTGAATTAAATACGACCCAATTAAATTATAGGAACCAATTAATTAAAGTTGAACTTCAAAAAAAATATCTCTTTAACTTCATGTATATACTTTATTAAGGTATTTTAATATATAATATATTTGAAAAATCATTAACAACCTGGTATATTAATATATTACATTAACATCTTTACTATTCATTATTGAACTAATTTATATCACAAAACTGGGACGACTTCTGTTGCAATATTTTAAAATAAACTAAAATTCACAATTTTTAATGAGGTCAGTGTCAACATTTTTCTGCCAGTTTAAAATAGATAGAGTAAAATATTTTTAAATTTAAATATAGAAAACGCGCTTTCTTTGAGAAATAGAAGATGAATAAGAAATAGTTTCTATTTACTATAATTTAATTTTAATAAATTTACAATAAAAGATATAATTTTTTACGCTTATATACCAAACCAGAAAGAGAAACTATATATAAAAATACTTGAAGTTTGAATATTAAATATCTTTTTTAATTATTGTTAATTTCTTTGTCGTTATTAAGTGCTACATACTTGTGAACTATTTCAGTATATAAGTTGAAATCGGTTTAGGATTTTTTGTGAAAATGTAGACAAATCATTTTGCAGTTTTCTGAAAATTTTGAAAAAAAACGGATAGGCCAATTGTTACAGAAAAACAACGTGAATCCTTATCGAGTTTCATCGAATGCCTTTTTAAATCTTTCAAACCTGTGCAACCGTTTTATTTTAGATATTCAAAGGGTCAAATTTTGGCTCACAAACATTAGATTAGGGAGCGTCAATTAATCACGTGATCGACTTTTTAGGGATTTTTGGACCCCTCCTCCCCCTTGGTGATACTACCCCTTACCCACCAAACATCACGTGTATTTTCAGTTATGTAAAATTTTCCGAAATTTACGAAAAAAACGTAAAATTTTTGTTTTTTTTGGAAATTTAGTTAAAAAATAAATACACGTAATTTCTTACTAGACCATTCCCTCCCCCACCTGATTTTTTGTGATTTTTTTTTACAAACACCCCCTTTCCTTAAAAGCCTCACGTGATTAATGGACGTCCCCTTAGATACGCACATAGCTTTTCCAATTTTGATCTCAAACATTAGAAATAACCTATGATATTAGTTGAGTATTTATAAAAATAGACTATTATAAAAATTAAAGGAGGCCCAGCATTATATTGTTAAAAATCCGAAAAAAGCAAAACGAAAAGGTTGGAAACCGCTGGGCTACCACATGAATAATGGTGAAAAAAAGTAGTTGAATAAATTTTATTTGTGATTGATTATATAAAAATCATATTGATATATTATTAATAGGAAAATTTTGGATGGACAACATTTACTGTGATGGTACGGAAACGGAATTATCGAAGTGCAGATTCGACGGTTGGGGAAACAGCGATTGCGAACCGGAAGAAGCCGCCGGTGTTATTTGTAAACAGGAAACCGCCGAAGATAATGAAGTGGAGGCGCAGAAACCGGAAACTATCCTTCCCAAATTCAAGGTGCCCATCAGGAATGCAACTCAAGAACCGATACAGGTCCGCCTAATGGGCGGAAGAGTTCGTGACGAAGGTCGGGTGGAGGTAGGTAAATAATGGCGAACTTAGATTAATTAAACATTTATATACAAGTCAATGTGCATATAGATATATATATATATATATATATATATATAGAAATATTCACCATATGCAAACCGCGTGGGGATTAGGTACTAATGATTACTAATTAACCGTAAATATTGAAGTTCCTCAATACCTTGAATACAGACAGACGATTAGTTCAAAGTATGTTCAAAATTCTATGTAGTGGACCTCAACATACAAGTTGCTCGTATCTCGAAGCAATTTTTTCTGTTCGGAAATGAGTTAGACGTGTTAAAACATGTCTGGGAAATGACATGTTTCGGAAATGTTTCCGGGGTGATTTTTTCAGAACTCTTTAAAGCTCAAAAAGCTGCATATGAATTATTGGAACGTTCTTAGTTGGAGTTATACCATTTATTAATTCCTTTTATTTGAACACTTTTGCTTTAATTCAAGAGACTACAGCCTTCTCTTTGAATCCACGGTCATAGAAATTTATAATATTTTGTAAACGTACAAAAAGCAAAAAATGTCAACATGTGTAACTGTACAATCACTTGTATGGTCAAACTTCCATACGTTAATACAATCCTCAATATATTCGCGTGGAGAAAACGTCACTATATAATTAACATGAAATTCAAATGAATAAATATAAAATAATTTACTATCTTGAAATATCCAAAATATTTCCATGGTAGGAAAATCATTGTTACAACCGACGAAATTTTTCATATTTTTATTTTGTCATTAACATTATTTGAGACATGTATTATTGAGTTGTTTTTCCAACATGTCAATATAGTATACAATTTCCCTTTACGATCCTGCAGTTGTAAATTCCCCAAATTTACTAAATATCTTTAACAGGACAGTTGTGAATAAAATAGAGGATAATAAAAAAAAATTATTCGAGAAAACTCTTTCTCGCCCAAAAATCGTAATTCGAATTTTGCTCATATGTCGAAGCAACAAATCGCTTCTTTGGCGGCTCGTATCTCGAAACAATCGTATGCCAAGTCGCTCGTAAGTCAGGAAACTACTTTATATATTTATATACATATATATATATATATTATATATATATATATATATATATATATATGTATATATATATTTATATACAAATGTTTACTATAAGCGAAATGTTTACTAGCTAATATATATATATATATATATATATATATATATATATATATGTATATATATATTTATATACAAATGTTTACTATAAGCGAAATGTTTACTAGCTAACCGTAAATTTAAAGCTATTTTTATTTAAATACTTGTTTATTCTGCAAAAAATTTATTGAGTTGAAACTATGATTTTTTTAATATCATAAAACATAATGTAAAACAAATTAAGTACGCTGAATAAAATTTTATTCAACTTTTCCCACTTAGAAGCACCGAAACTACATAAAAACTTTGTTAACTTTATCAGTATTCTTAAATGAATTGACATTTTCCTAATTAGAAGAAGCTAACATTCTGGCTTACTGTGTACGTATCTTATTTCCGCAAAGTAGTGCGGATAAATATTTCATTAATTTTGATTGTTCTCAGATACGAGTAGGATCTGGTCCTTGGGGAACAGTTTGCGGCGACGGTTGGTCCCTGCTGGAAGGTGCCGTCATTTGTAGGCAACTGGGATTCGGATACGCCAACGACGCGTTGCAAACAGATTTTTTTGGAAATGGAAACGGATCGATGTTGCTCAGCGGAATAAAATGCCATGGGAACGAACCAGATATAACGCATTGTCTGCATGACACCATTGGCAACGTCACCTGCCCAGGTAAGTAGTAATAAACGACTCTTGTACAATGGTAATCAAACACAAATTTTTATAAATGATCCGTTGCGCTCTTCCGATTTTAAAATTAATACGGTGGCGGGAATAGCTCACTCAGTAGCGCTGGAGGAATACGGTTCTAATCTCCAGCAATACCAGAATTAAAAAATATAAAATATTAAAGTAATTAAGAATTGTTAATTTGTAGAATACAAGAAAAAATTGTATTAGAAGTAAGAAGGAAAAAAGAAGTTTAGTTTAGAAGATGAGAAAAACATATTAAGAAACAAGAAAAAGAATTAAAATCAGTAGAAAGAAAATAGAATGGATGATGAGGATATAAGAAGAGATAGTATATATATATATATATATATATCTATATATATATAATATATATATATATATACTATCTCTTCTTATATCATATCTATATATATATATATATATATATGATGAATGTATAAGAAATATATATGTAACATTTGTATATGTATGTAGTATGTGTAATAATATGAATAATGTAGGTGGCTAAAAATGCTGTAAAGCGGAGGCCATTAAGATTTTAAAAAAAATTAATACGAGGAAATAAAACTATTCTTTCTACAACATTTTACAAGATTCTAAAATTAACGAATTATAACAGTCCTGGCCATCAAGTGAATAGTGACATTTAACTAGGATTGTCTGTTTTCAGTGAGTCGTCAGTGATTTTTCATGATATATGAAATGTATTTACATATATTATGTGACAGTTTATTAAATTTCTTATACATTCTTTCTTATACAAATTTCACTTGTTTGTCAAATTCATGGTCTCTAAACAGAACCACGTTGCAATAAATTTATTCTACATAAAATCCATCGATTCGCTTGCATTACACTATAAAATGTTCAACTAGTTTTATATAGAAACTTTTCTCCTATTTAAAAGTATATTTATTCATTAAGGAAAAATATTTTGCAAAATTACAAGTAAAATTAATTTAAAAGAGTTAAGTAGTAGTTAAACTGTAGTTAAAAATCTTGGTACGAAACTCAAAAAAAAATACACAAAATTTGTACACATTATTAAATCTCTATAAAATATCTGAATTTGATGTGCATATGTCTAATGATCATTTTTGACCGCCTAAATTAATTTATTTCTATTGAGAGTCCATAACCTTTAGCCCTGCCTTCCCAAAAATATAATCAGTTATTTATCTTGTCACTACAAGTAACTTCTTTTTCGAATTATTAAAATCGGACGCTCCGTTCTTTTAAAAACTGAGTTACCGTTTTTGGCACTTTTTGCCCCGTATCTTCGATACGGCTAGACTTTGCCTGCGCTAAAAACTAATCAGCACGTCTCCTTATCCATACGGATCGAATGTTTTTTTGAATTATTCAAATCGGTTAATCCGTTTTCCCGAAATCGTCGACGAAAATTTGTATCCGCACGCACACATAGACACACACGCATACATCCATTTTTTCTAAGGTATGCCAAATGGAAGTTAATTATGTAATCGTATTTGATATTACAGCAAATAGATCGACATTTTCACAGTTTTTACTACCAAGAAACAAGTATAACATCTTCAGTTGACATAACAACGCTATCTTAACGTCTATGTTACGGCAGAATTGCTCCATTAGTGTTAACTTCAGGGGCGTAACTACCGCCGTATCAGCCGTATCAAAGATACGGGGCCCCCGAGCCAGGGGGCCCCCAACGTCCGTAAGCAAATATTAATAAAAAAATATTTCACAAAAAGCGAATTAATCGCGAAAAATTTGTTCAATCAAATTTAAAGTTATTAAAAAAGACCGCGAGGAATGTAAAATTATTATTTTAAAGTGTTATTTTTTCCGAGCCGTGGGGGCCCCAACTTGCCCAAATATTAACAGAATCTTACGAATTTTGATCTTATTTCACAAATAACAAAAGTTAAAATGATCATGAAAATTTTCTTCCAACTAAATTTAATTTCGAATAAAGCATGAGCGTGTAGAATGCAAAAATATAGCTTTAGAGAGTTGCGATAGAATAGAAAACTAGCATTTTATTTAGTCATTTCGTGAATAGATTGTGCAAATTATAAAATCAAATTTAATTCAGCAGTTTGCTAAATGTCTCGCAAAATTAGCGAAGGAATGAAGCGTAAACGACTGTTTTCAAAAGCAAAAGACAAGTATAGCAACCTGTAATCTTGTTTCAAACTTAACATATACTATTGCTGATTCTACATATTAATTTCTCAAATTAAACAAAGATCAGAGACATCTACTCAATTATTATGTTCGAATAATTACAACTTGATTCATTTAGCAAAACATCTGTCTTCATGAAACTCGTTTAAATACAGTAAGATCATCTCTGTTAATTTTTATAACCAATTGTAAACTCTCTAAAAATATGTTTAAAATGTGAAATTCAATATTTATTTATATTGCTGACAACATTCAATACTTTTGCTTCCAATTTTCCCGAAGTAATTTTTGCATACAATTTAGCCAGAGGCAAACGCAAATGCTGAAAGAAGTTTTTCAAAAATAGGACTGATAAAAAACCACCTGATTAATTGTAGGCCATAGCAAACTTTGCTTGTATTACCCGATATGTGTAAATAATCGACCCAATCAATAAGAATTCAGATTTATTCCAAATTTTTATGATATTAATTAACAAAAAGAGGTCCAAGGGATACATTCCGAACAGCTCTTTATTTTGAAACGAGGGCGAAAATTTTAGTACTCTTTTCCTAATTTTGAGGAATCGGCGCGGCCTATCGTAAACAAACATTTTCTGGTAAGAAATATAAACTTTTTCTCTGGGAAATTAAATTCTTCGATGATGCAGGAACAGCAGTCAGATCATTATTATTCATAGAAGCAGAAACTTTATCAAAAGCTATAGTCATCATAAGCTATAAATGATTTAATAAATGTGTATATTGAATTTGAATTGTTTGTTTTGGAAAATAGATGGATGAATATTGATAAGTGAAGATTTATAAAAAAAAAATTGAGAAAATTCTGCCCTATTTTAGGGGGGCCCCCAAAAAATTTTTGATACGGGGCCCCGCCAATGCACGCTACGCCCCTGGTTAACTTCCACACCTTCTTTGTTACTGATTATTAAATGATTATTATTATATGAAATGTGATTTCTAAATATGACTGTCATGATAACAATTACTGAAATCATTGAAATAAATGCCTTATTATAGCACTATTCGTTTTAATCCAGCGACACGAATATCTGCACCACACTTTGCCTAAATACCCTTTGAATTATTTGCAATAAAATCCATCCTTAAAAATTTCAAAAATCACTTTAATAATATCGATTACTAACGATTATTATTTTTAATCTTTTAATCATAGGATTAAAAGGGCACGTAGCCGGAGTAACATGCATTGACCAACTACCGGATTTAGTAATAGATCACATAGAATTAGAAAGAACGGCCCATTTAGAAGATAAACCCATGTTTTATCTCCAATGTGCGATGGAGGAGAATTGTCTAGGTAGTCAAGCGTATGTAATTCAGAGGCAGAACGACGCTTGGCATTTGGAAACCAGGAGGTTATTGAGATTCACTGCGCGCGTATTAAATGCCGGCTCCGCAGATTTCAGACCGTCGATTCCTAAGCACCTATGGGAATGGCACATGTGTCACAGGTGAGGTTTAAGCATCTTGCACTAACTAGTAGTAATAAGGTATCGAGACGAATGTCAAATAGATACCAAATGATAAAAAAAAAATTACATGGTTCTACACAGCAATTAGAAGTAGGGGAGAGCAAGGGACTTGTTGTAACTGCTTATTTTTAAATTGATAGATATTTTGATTCACTGATTGTATTGTAAAGCAAAATAGATGCTGTAACTATTCCTTTACCAAATCCAATAAAAATAATTCTGTAACTATTGTTCATGGAGTTGCCCACTGGGGTGACCTCCACCATATCCACCATGTATGTAAAACTCTAGTACTGGAAGTTTAACACTTACGGGACGGCACCGATTTCAAAACAATCTACTGTACCGGCTGTAAACTTGATTTCATTGTGTATGTTATGCAATTTGTTTGACAAAAATTTATGGTCATTGAAGGACATACATTAATAATATTAATTTTTTTTTGATCATTTTATAAAGAATGGTGACGTTCAAAACAATTTCCAAATTGCATAGCTGGTTGATTTTGACATGATTTACAATAAAATGTTGTTTGCCGCCTTTCTCCTGGTGCTTTTCTGTCAGAACAGACAATACAATCCCTTTTTCTTTCTCTCGCATTTAGAATATGCCACTGATTAGTCAGTATATTTGTTCATTTTTGAGCTGCCATAATGGTTTGTTTTTTGTATTAAATCGTCTAATAATTCATTTGTAAAATATAAAGTAAAATAATCTATTGGATGTCTTATATTGCTTGGTATTTGTAGGCGGGGTATTTGTTGATGTATGTCAAACTCGATTATTGAAGAAGGATCGGCACATTCGCTAATGTCTTTCCGCTCTTCATTTAATTTGTTCAACTTCTTCTTCCTTTTGTTGGTTGGATAATATCATCATCACATTCATCACTATCTTCGGTGCAAATAGTAATTTTGTAAAATTTGTCTATATGAATGTCTATTTCAAATTCATCTTCACTACTGCTTAATTCTACCAGTCGTTTTGCCATATTTAAAAGCGCTCGGTCGTTTTAAATATTTAAAAAAAAGCATATAGCAAAGAAAAAGGCTAAAAATACTACTAAAATAACTTAAAATTATTTTCAAAATACAACACTGTTTATCACTGCTATATGTAATTTATTCAGCTTGTCGATGCAAACTGAGTCATTGTTTATAAAATAGCCTGCGCCTCACAAAGTATGTTTGTCCACTGAGGTGGACAGCCGTCCGCAAAGAGTTAATAACCAGCGCAATAGCTTATAGATTTTTTTCTGAATGCTATTTAATTATTGTTAAAAAAATATTATTTATTATTAGTACTAACAAAATAATTAGAAGTATATTTTTTCTATATAGGCATTACCACAGTATGGAAGTTTTCGCAACATTCGACATAATCAATTCCGAAGGCAGGCGAGTTGCAGAAGGACATAAAGCATCATTTTGCTTGGAAGACAATTTATGCATACCAGGAGTGAAACCAAGATACGCCTGCGCAAATTACGGCGATCAAGGTACGTTTGATTATATAATTATTTACTTATCTAAAATGCAAATTTACAAAAGGATTAAACGCTGACCATTTAGAATTCGGGGCATGATCCGGAAGGTACAATAATAGAGAGATGGATTAACTAGATGAGTATTTTCATTTGCATGAAGTCTGAGAGTCGTTCGGGATAATCCTACCATCCGACAATATAAAATAATTCACAAGAAAATGCTTATTATAAGGATTTTTCAGTTATTTCGATAGAAATTTACATAGTAAAAAATTTTATCTTAATGATTTTGACCTATATCAGTATTGTAGGATTTAAATAAAATATTTAAACTTGGCATTTTAGATAAACTTTATATAAAAGCTGTACTTTACAATCTCGAGGAATATCGATTTGAATTCCATTATAAGAAAACATTATTAATGAACGCATTCATTATACTAAATCGCGTATAATAAGAATGATTTTGTCATATATGTTATTAAAAAATATACTTATAAGATTTGCGTGAACGAAATTTAAGTTATTCAAATATTTAATACCAAAAGCGATACCACAATATGGTTTATCTACCCTGAAAACATCCTATTTTTAACGGTAAATAATACAAATTTTGTTAACAAAACATTACATAATAATGTAAATAACGAATCGAATGATTTCACATTTTACTTTATTCGATTGTAGATTCTTCAGATTCTTGTGTTATTGTGTTCATCTAAAGATCCTAAAGACTGAACGGTGTACTTGGGGTTCAAAACTAATGTTTGATTTCGTTTCAAATTTAATTGATATTGCAGATGAAAAATAGTTATTTTACGATATCCTCCAGTGGGTCAATAACCTACGTATGAAAAAACTTTTTTTGGATGCCCCATATCATTTTATATTTCAAATTATTAGAGCGTTTGTTAACTTCTTTAATAAATCAAAATAAATTTTTAAAACTCACTTATTATCTGTGAGGACTAAATCTGAGCAAAAGGGCACAATTACAAGAACCAAAAAGATGATACAAAACAATAATATAAGAAACTGATATACAAAAAAATAATATTTCTCATATAATTCAGTTTTAAAATCTGTCTGATGTTTGGTTTTTAATGCTGCAACGTTTTACAAGAGAAAGGACTCGCCATATCATGTTTTAGAGGAAGAAAGAAATTATTGTCCAGGTTTTTTGTCAATTTTGTGATTACAATTCGATTTCCTCTTACAATTTCGCATCATTTAAAAAATATTGTTACTTAATTGGAATTCATTATGTAACACAGTGCTCCGTAAGATTGTGCCTCACGTGAGACAAATCGATCAATATTAAATCATTGTAGTTAGGTTAACAAAAAAAATACTTAACGATAAATTTAAGCTAAATATGCATGCAAAATAGAAAAATCGCAATGACTTACCTGTATTATTGGCCGCTCGCAAAGATCAAAACCGGTACAGTTGTTTCACATATTAATTTCATTAATCTGGCACTACTTAATTATGTAGTCTAACACCAAAAAATAAAATAAAGTTTTTTTTTTCTACTACTCACGAAATTTTATTGACCACACGTGTTCGATTGTTTGTTAGTTCTGAGCCATTGATAAACAAGTATATGTTCTGAACGACTGTGCAAATATAGACATTGATGAATCTGAATTTCACTTAACTATAAATTATCACTTTATACTTCAAATTATTAGAGTGCGTTCGTTAACTTCTTTAATAAATCAAAATAAATTTATAAAACTCACTTATTTTTTTTTAGGAATTTCTGTAAACTGTTCCGATATCTACCGCTACAATATAGACTGCCAATGGGTTGATATTTCTGAACTAAAGCCAGGAATTTACAGAATGAAAGTATCAGTGAATCCAGAATTTAAAGTAGCCGAAATTACTTTCGATAACAATGCCGCCGTTTGTGAACTAATATACACCGAAACTTACGCAAGATTATTCAATTGCAGAGTAGAAAGACCTTAGAAAAAGTAGTATTAAATAATTTCTTACAAATAATAATTTCCTTATTATCTCCACAAATTTTAAATGATAATAAGGATATGAAACCAACATTAAATTATTATTTTAATGTTTTTTTCTCATTCATTCATTCACTTCAAATATATGTTATTCATACATTGTTAAATTACTTTTAAATAATTTAGATGAATGCTACATCTCTGCATTTATCTATATTAATAAAAAATAATTGATAATCCTCCACAAATAATAATCTTGTTATAAGTTATGCAGAACTACAATTCATGTTCATTCAAAAATCTATTTGTAAGTGTTGTAAAAAGTGCAAATAAAATTTAGAAAAAAAATAGTATTAAATAATATGTGTAAAATAAAATAATTAGAATTTAAGTTATCATAATGTATAAATAAGATTTTATTTTGGCATAATAAAAATGTACTTATGTTATAAATTAATTTCATTTAACTTGCACTTATTATAACATATTATTTTACTATATATTACTAATTATTTATTTACAGATTCAATGATAATTATTTGATTCTATTTGGCTTATTATGAAAAAAGTAAAAGAAATACTTCAAAAGCATTATTATGATCTGTCATAATAAGCTAAAAGTATGAGTAAGGCTCGAATTATGGATAAAACAATTTTCTTTGAATTAAATAAAATAAAGTTGTCAGTATTCTGGCATTGATAATTATGTACGAATATGAACACATGAGTATTGAAATTCTTAGTGCTATCATACAATATATTAATCAGCCATACAATCATTAATGCAATTATTACAAAGCGTATGAGATCTATGATTGAACATAAAATGCCAGTACAAAAATAAATAATGATAAAAACTGTATTTTTGACTGCCATTTTATGTTTAAATTAAATATTATTTATTTCTTTCATGATTTGTTATATTAAAAATAATCATAATCCACAATTATATTCATTATATTCAATTTCTCTACTTGTCGATTTGAAACTTATATACATACATCAATAAATATCTACATATTGCGTAGCTGTTACAATAATTATCTAATTTATACACTATCTAGTTAAAATCTGATTTTTTTTATTTATCATTATGAAGGTTTATAAGAAAATATTTTTAAATATTTTCCCCGAGTCATTTCTCTTGCTTCCTCAACGCCTAATTGGTAGGCTAAATCATGCAGTGTTTTTATTTCTGATATTAAACCTCTAGTCGAGTGTGTTGCAAGCCCTAAAACATAATTTGATAAATTGAGGTTTCAATGTAATTCGTAACCACAAAACCACTTACTGTGCATTAAATCGATATCTTCAGAGGTTAAGGGACTCAGCCAAACTGGTAATGTGCTATTATTTGAGTGAGATGACATATGAGCTGATACATATTCGGTGACTCCGGGGACTAAAATATAAAGAATCGTATAAAATCACTTTTGAGTAATGAGTATGAATATATGTTTTGGTTACTTTGCTCTGGCCATAATTCGGGAGAAGATCTGTCCATTTTCTCCATGCTCATGAGGCTTTCGTTTAAAATAGGTTCATCATCTTTTGAAGCATCCTCCTTCTCATTCAACTGCTTTTGTCCTTGCTCTAATTCTTCTACTTCTACATCTTCTGCATCTTCAACTTCTTCTACTTCTTCTACATCCTCTATTTCTTCTTCCTCCCCTTCTGTGTAAATAAATAAGGAAAAATTATAAAATACGAACTTGAACTGGAAGAAATGTAAACTGTATATAAGCCTTTACGTGATTCTTCTTGCGATGCAGGCGGTTCAGAATCTGACATTTTAAGACCTCAACGGCTTTGCAAGGAACTTAATATAGGTTCGGATTTAAATTAAGAAGTTCTTATATTTATTATAAGTAGGTAACTGCACAAATGATCAATAATTAAGGACGGATTTAGTTAATTTTTTAGATATAAACACACATTTAAAATCAAACACAGCCGGTATATTTTATAGTCCACTTGTCAACAACGTACATGTATGAAGTTATAAGCAAATTTTCAAAACTTCGATCAGAGCACCAACATTGTAAAGTGCTTTCATTACCATTTTATATGATAAATTTATAAAATATGATGAATATTTAATGAAATATGATTTCAATGTAATGGAAATATTTTAGATTTTAAATATAATTACTCTCATATTGTTGATCATCGTTTTATTCTGTATTTTATTTCCCTTATGTTGATTTACCTGCAAACTCTATCATTAAGTATTGCACACTTCAGTTGCGTGACTGTTTGATTTTTATTCAACTTGTCGGTGTCATTATATGTTTGTTTTTAAGAATATTTAAGTACTTTAATAAATAGATTTAAAAATGTCGGCACGTTACGATAGAGCTATCACTGTTTTCTCTCCAGACGGTCATTTGCTACAAGTTGAATATGCACAAGAAGCCGTCAGCAAAGGCTCAACTGCTGTATGTAAAATGCTAATCATTGTATATTAATCATAATTACTGAAGTTTAATAAGCTAGGAAAATAACAGATTTAAAATATTGCTTTGAGTTCTTGTTGTTCAGTAATAAATTATATTCATTAAATATTTTATTATTATGGTTAGGTTGGAGTTCGAGGCCAGGATGTTGTTGTCTTGGGTGTAGAAAAAAAATCAGTAGCAATGCTGCAAGAGGAACGAACTGTACGCAAAATATGTTTACTCGATGACCATGTAGTTATTGCATTTGCTGGGTTGACGGCTGATGCTCGTATCTTAATTAACAGAGCTCAGATGGAATGTCAGTCGCACAAACTAACAGTAGAAGATCCTGTCACATTAGAGTATATTACACGTTATATTGCTGGTTTAATGCAAAAATATACACAAAGCAATGGCCGAAGACCTTTTGGTATATCTTGTCTTCTTGGAGGTTTTGATTATGATGGACAACCTCATTTATATCAAACTGAGCCTTCTGGAATATATTATGAATGGAATGCTAATGCAACTGGTCGAAGTGCTAAAACAGTTAGAGAGTTTCTAGAGAAATACTACACTCCAGAAGCAGTAAGTTATGATGCATATATTTCACATTTACATTAAATTTTCATATATTGATCAATAATATTTGTCTAGGTTGTTTTCTATAATGAAACAGATTTAATTTTATTTATGAATTTGCTGTTCAATATTTTGAGAATATGCTGAATCATTTGCATTTTATGTTTATCTTTTATTTTTTGCATCAGGTGGCAACTGAACATGATACTGTTAAATTAGCAATAAGAGCACTCTTGGAAGTAGTTCAGTCCGGCAAAAAGAACTTAGAAATTGCTGTCATGCGCAAAGGTCAGCCTATGGAAATGCTATCAAGTAGCAGCATTGAAAAATATGTTGGAATCATTGAAAAGGAGAAGGAACAAGAAGCTGAAAAGAAAAAACAGAAAAAGTAATTTAATTGGAACTATTAATATTTTTTTAATTCAATAAATAAATTAAAATATTTTTTTTTTTTCATTGAGAGAAACTTTCATTTTGATAATTAAATTTATTATATATTTTCATTTAAAAATATAGATGATACACTCACCAAATTATGTTAAGTCATGGACAATCATTATCTATCACATATATACTCTTATTTATATACAAAATACAAACAGCTTAAATTTTTCATAAATATCATTCATAATTAACAACTATTTAACTATTCCTAACTAAATAATATTTCACATCATTTATACACTCATTCAATTGTCATCAAAAGGTCATCTCCTTCCAATTTCATGCCCTTTTCAATTTCTATTTCCTTAATTTTTCCAGCAATTGGGGCTTGTACTATCATTTCCATTTTCATAGCTGATAAAACAACTAATGGCGCACCTTTTTCCACAGTATCTCCAACTTGAACTCGAATATCTGTTAAAAATTTAGAGTAAAATTTTATTATCTATTCGGCTTAGGTGATCTAAAATCTGTGGTTAAAGGATTTACCAATTACAGCACCAGGCATTGGAGCACCAACTTGGTTTTTGTTTCCTTTTGCTGCTTTGGGATGCACATGCATTACCTGTTTATAAAATTACATTATTTAATATAAGATATGTCATAATCAAGATAGCATATATTGCGAGTGCATAGCTTGGGGCATTTATTAATTACCTTGACAGCTTCTTTATCTCTAATGAGGACTGATCTCATTTGACCATTCATTTCAAAGAATACTTCTCGTTCTCCACTTGGAGTTAAATCTTCTGCCATAGCTAATGTTTTAATTCCTAAAGTCTTTCCCTTTTCAATTTGAACATCAAACTCCTCACCAACCTGCATAATCATTTATTTGCAGCTTATAATTGATAAAAATGTATTAAATGTAATTTGTATTTTACTGAATTTACCTTTGGGCCTGTTAAAAATATTCTTGTATCTAATTTATCGACGGATCCATACTCATCTCTGAATTGTAAGAAATCGTTGGTGACTTCTGGATACAGGGCTGCTGACATAACATCACGATCAGTAACCTGTAATATTTTATTAAATGATTAGTTTACTGATTCAACAATAAAAAGCAATTTATTTTCTTACATCAGGAAAACTCTCTTGTAAATCAGTCTTCAATTTCTTAAAATCAAAATCTGGTAAAAATTCACCAGGACGTCCTTCAACTCTTGGCATGTCCTTCAGGACTCGAGATCTATTAAGAAAATACTTATTAGCAATATTGTATTAATAAAGAAATTATGTTTCGTTTGTGTGATGTACCTAAATGGCTCAGGGAAACCTCCATGAGGGGTACCAATGGATCCTTGCAAGAATTCAACCACTGATTTAGGGAATGATAGATCTTCTGCTTTTTCCATTACTTGTTGAGCATTCAATTTATTCTGTACCATGAATTGAGCTAAGTCACCAACAACTTTAGATGAAGGTGTTACCTTAATTATGTCTCCTAGAAGAAGATTAGCTTCTCTGAAAAGATAATGAAAAATGTTAAACGTTTTATATTTTATCTTCAATTAAAATGAAAAGTTTAACAAACCTGTATGCTTTTTTCACATCTTCAAAGAATTCACCTAAACCTAATGAATATGCTTGGAACTGTAAGTTTGTATATTGACCTCCAGGAATTTCATTCAAATATACGTCAGCATTTCCACTTTTCATTGTCGTGGTGCATTCGAAAGGCGCATATAACGTCCGCGTCTGCTCCCAATATGCAGAATACCCAGATATATCATTTAGTTGTAGTCCTTAAATATAAATTGATTAAAGGTAACAATATCAATGAAAGTCTTCCACAAAATGTTAAAACCCTTTTTGCAAAATAAACAGTGTCTTTGTTAAGTTACAATCACAAGTTTAAGAATAATTTGAAAAAGAATTCTTATTTTTAACTCATATTTTAAGAAAAACAGTTTATCATTAATTGTTTTGCAAACATTAAAGAAAAATAGTTCAACTAGACGCACTGAACTGTTTCAAAATCAAATGTTACCTGTATCCAATTTGGTTCCTTGTAAACTGGCTACAACTGCACCCATACTCGGTTGACTAGTCATACCAGACATGCTGTCGACAGCTACATCAACTACATCAGCACCTGCTTCTGCGCAAGCCAACATGGAAGCGACTCCTGCTCCAGAAGTATCGTGGGTATGAATGTGAATTGGAACATGGGGATGCTTGTCTCGAATAGCTGTTATTAACATCCTATTGAAACAAAGAAGTTTATTTATGTGGAACAGTTCATATTATAAATAAAAAAATATTTATCTTACTTAGCAGCTTTGGTTTCAAAAGTCCGGCCATATCCTTAATAGCTAAGACGTGCGTACCTAGAAATAATAACAACATAAAATCGCAAGAGTACAAATAAAACCATGATCGTTTCAATTAAACTAATCATTTTCTCACCAGCCTTGACGAGTTCGTCAGCTAAATCTGTGTAATATTTCAAATTGTACTTCGTTCTGGTGGGGTCACTGACATCACCAGTGTAAGAAATAGCCGCCTCGACAACACCTCCAGCTCTACCAGCTGCTTCCATTCCAAGAATTAAATTAGGCAAGTAATTTAGGGAATCGAAAACTCGGAAGATATCCATTCCACATTCCACTGCTAACTCGCAAAATTTGAATACAACGTTATCAGGATAATTTGTGTAACCTACAGCATTGGCGCCTCGAAGCAACATTTGGAATGGGATGTTGGGGATTTGTTTACGCATGTCTTCCAAACGCTCCCAGGGGCATTCGTGTAAGAATCTGGTAAAGGATTAAACATTATTTACACACAAGCATTTCAAGAAGAAATTAGTATAAATTTAGCTCGTCGATTTTCAAATGTACCAGTATTTTTATTACCTAAGGGCTACATCAAAAGTGGCTCCTCCCCAATTTTCTAAGGAATACAAATTATTGAATTTGTGTGCGACAAATGGAGAAATTTTCAAAAGATCGTGAGTTCTAACACGTGTTGCCAGCAAAGATTGGTGAGCGTCACGGAAAGTGGTGTCCATCAACATAAGTCCCTTGTTGGCACGCACCGCCTTCGCAAATGCACTTGGTCCTTCTTTTTTGAGAATTTCTCGCATGCCTTTTGGTGGATCAGTCACTAAATAATACACAAAGAAATATTTTTTTATTGCCCAAATAAAGTTGTGATAAACTCTCAACATGTTATTAGATTATATAAAATTCTATATAATTTATATACAATGTAAGTAAAGTTTTGCCATTCAAATGTTATCACATTAAACCATTATTTGTTCCCTTATATATTTTATAGTTATTTCTCACTTTGAAAATATTTTTTCTAGAAATTTCTAATTATTATTTTCTAAGATACATAATTCATCGATTAAGCTGTTTAAGATAGTTCAGAATTAAAGAAAATTATAAAGATATATAATAAAGTTATAAATGGGTAGTACATCTATAGTGCAGTTATTCTAGTAATTAAGTGATAAAGACTAATATAATTATCAAAATATTAATATGTTGATGTCTAATAACTACTAAATGCAGGATGTAAACTAAAAAGTAAAATTCTAATAACAAACATGCCATGTGCATAGTAAGATAATTAAAATAAAGTCCGGCATTCAATTACTACGAGAAAACCTTAAAACTTACTTCAGGCGAATTGAAACATTCCAGATAATAGTTATTCCCAGAACTGTCTAAAATGTGCTATAAAAATATATAAAAATAACTGATTTGTAAATTGGAAGAATGAAAAAATATACATCCTCACAGAGGTTAGTAATTTCAAACCAATATCAATCAGCCTAAAATCTAATTTATGAAATTAGATTTTTAGGCTGATTATTTTTTTATGAAAGTACATTTAGATAACTTTTCAATTAATTTTAAAATGTTTAATTTATCAATAAGATAAAACTAGTATTTATAAATTTTGCCACCTGCAATTCATAATTATTTAAACCACGGTGATTTAAACACTTGCTGGTAAGAATATTTGAAGCTTCATCTTCAAAAGTAATGAAATTTCAAATTTTGTCGAATTTTTTTACAAGTTTTAAATTTAAAAATAAACATTAAAGTATTTATTTGTTAGTAATCATGAAAATTTTAATACCATGCCCTTACAAATTCAACTTTGAATGACCGTTGTTTATTATAAAAAAAATGAACCAATAAGTTCATGTGCATGCCCCCTTTTGAAACATTTAAATTTAGAGTTAGTCCATAATAAATAATTTTTTTCCCTTACAAATGACATAAATAAAACTAGTACAATACCTGATCCTTCACCATTCCTCACGTTCAAGAGCTTCCTTAGATAAATCTGCGAACGAAATCAAGTTTCTATTCTAAATAACACAAAAGCAAGCACACGATTTTTTTCTTATTAGTGCGAAGTATTTTGTATGTTTTGGCGTACTTTAATCAAATAATATTATTGCTAATAAAATATGTGTCAGAGATGTGGTGAGAGTAATATATTGATTAAAATATGTATTTATGAAAATACATCTCTCCAAATAAGTTTTAGAAAATTGAAGGCGTAGAAAGTGTATAGGTAAACTATAAAATTATGTGACTATATAAAAGCAGATAGGTAAATTAAAAAGTGGCGCAAGAAATAAATTTATAGTGTTAAATATAGAT